TCTCCATCGTTCGTGGCCCGGCTTTGTGCCGTTGAAGCTGAGGCGCTAAGACATTGTCAACCTCTCCGGCCTTCCCTGCACTGTTGTCACTATTGCTAGGTAATCTAGGTAGTTTCCTGCTTCTGAGTCATGGTACGCCCGAAGTCTCGCAATGCGTCTGCGTCTCAGGCTGCCGGTTCGAGGATCGCGGATGGCTGCGGAGGTGACGGCTGCAGGCTGCTCCGACAGAAGTCCAAGGTGCTGAGGTTTGTTTCAAGTGAGACCTGGAAGGAAGCGATGGGGGTCGCGCCCCGCTTCTGTCCGTCTGCTTCCAGTCGCAGATTGCCCTCAGAAAAAGATTCTGGATCTTCGCGACGACCCTCCGCGCGGCGACGATCCCCCCTGTCTTGCTGAGCACGTCGGCTCCGCGTCGACGTATGGTTGGCAAAGCCAAAGTGTCACATTCTGGACTTGGCAAAGCGAACAGCATTATTTCACCTACACACAACAATTCTGCTTTTTCTGTTGCTAGACGGCCACATACTGATGATTTCGCTTTTCAGAAGCTTACCCTTTTCTACTTTGATGACATGGGCTAGCTTTGGTCTCTTTCCGGGTGACTTGGCACCCGCAAGGTTGCCCTGAACAAGGCAGGCTTCTGCGAGCCTCACGCCCTCACGCCTGAGAGAACCTGAGCTCAGCTGACAACTGAAGCTGGCAAGATCTGGCGCTGCTGCAGGAAGCGCATTGCTTGCGTCAGGACCAGTCTACTTGTGCCTCCTGCCGCATCTGCCGCTGTCATGCGCTGTGCTGGCGGTGCACTTGCCAGATGTGGCAGCAAAATGAAGTGGTTTTGCGCATGGATGGGGAGTCTGGAGAGTGGAGGAGGGTGGACAGTCAACGACCGTGCGCGGCGTGGCAGCTGCATCGCGCTTGCTCGCATCAGGCCTCACGCCAGTCGCTTCTTGGCGGGTTGTAGGCGCAGATGAGCGACAGGAGATCCGTGCACCACGGGCGGCGCATGTCCTCTTCCAGCCAAGTCCATCCACATGCATTGTCGAAGGCACCCGCATAAAAAGTAGGAGCTACATCTGCACCGCTTTCAAGCAGCTGTTCGAAGCTTGGCACTGTTCAAAGCTTGGCACGCCCAATACAGATCGGCATGGACCCATTTGCGTCTGATCCAGCTGTAGGGAAGAGTCAGTCGGAACAGCGAGCACCGACTCGGTGCATAGTGCTGAAACCGGAGCAGAGAATTCGGACCCCCCGGGTACCCAACAAGAACGTGACAGCTTCGAGCCACAGCTGTGCCTCGAACACCTGATGCCCTGCTGATACCCTGCAAAGAAATTTGCAAGGCGAAGAGGCATCCTGTTCGCCCTCGGCATGAGATTATTCGAGGATTGGTGGGAGCAGCGCTTGCCCTCAGATTCGCGTGCTTGGATCTTGGCCTTCTGGTGCTCGTGTAGCTCTCTGTGGTGCTTTGCATGCGAGGCAGAGTTCGGCGGAGAGTTCGGCTGTTAGGTGGGATGTCCAGCGGCGGGGAGTTCGGCAGGTCCATACTTGTTGAAGTCAGCGGGCCGCTTGAAGCAATGACACGCCCGATCTTCCTGGGCATTCCATGCATGTCATGGGATCGTTTCGGCACAGGGGTCACCAGTGGTCACCAGGCCTCCATGCACTGAACGTGCACCTTCCTCCCAAAGACATGGCCATGCGTGTGATGTTCAGCCTAGACCCTGTGGATCTCCTTTGCAAAGCGACAGGTGGAGGCCGGTACAGACTTCAACGGATGAGGCCGAAGCCGTTGTTACGGCGGAACGGCCTGTGCCAATCCAACCTCGTGAAGCCAGGGAAGGCTGCAGCATGAGCCACGGTATGCCGTGGAGCCTGCAGGTGCTTGTGGTAGCAGCAGCTGCATCTTTCTGAGACGGCATCCATCCGCCCGCTATCAGCTGTGCTCGCAGAGGCTCGCGGCGCCGCTCCGGCACCGTGGTGTCTTCGCATTGCTTGGGGCCGGGCCCAGGGTTTCGAGTGCCTGTTGCGTTCCATTGCACGCAGCCCCGACTTTCGCTGATCTGCGCATGGTCTCCTGCACACCCACCGCACCGACCACACCGGCCACACCGACCGCGCCGACCGCACCGACCGCGCCGACCGCGCCGACCGCGCCAACATGCGACGGGGAGTACGTGACCTTCTGGGGGCTTGAGGCATGCCAATGGGTCAGTCTCGGTGCCTGTCGCTGCAAACCGGTCTCTGTCAGCCTTGGCATCTAAAGGCGAAGCCTGTCGTGTCGCTTCGGCACAGTTCGGCGGCCTGGCAATGCCTGGCAAACTGAGGGGTGCCAGCACCAGAGCCGAACGTGGAGCTAATCGATCGGCCGGAGTGTGGCTTTGAGACAGAAGGCTTCGCATTCGTTCTCCATCGTTCGGGGCCCGGCTTTGTGCCGTTGAAGCTGAGGCGCTAGGACATTGCCAACGTCTCCGGCCTTGCCTGCACTGTTGTCACTATTGCTCGGTAGTTTCCCGCCGCTGAGAGTCGTGGTACGCCCGAAGTCTCGCAATGTGTCTGCGTCTCACGTGGTGCATCTTAGGCAGGGTCCGCGAGGCTGCCGGTTCGAGGATCGCAGATGGCTGCGGAGGTGACGGCTGTAGGCTGCTCCGACAAAAGTCCAAGGTACTGAGGCGAAGGAAGCGATGGGGGTTGTGCCCAGCTGCTGTCCGTTTGTTTCCGATTGCCATCAGAGGAAAACTGCATGTGGAGGCATCACAACTTTGGAGACCGGCGCCGGGTTTGCTTGCTTTGACGTCCTGCTCTCGGCAGGCTTTGGCTTTCTGCGAGCCTCAAGCATGAGAAGACTTGAGCTCAGCTGACAGGAAGAGGACTCTCAGCAAGCCCTGCAAAGTGACTTGTAAAGCGAAAAGGAATCCTGTTCGTGCGCGGCGCGAGATTATCCAAGGATGCTAGCAGGAATGGTGCGAGGCAACGCTTGGCATCAGATTCGCCAGCTTGGATCTTTGCATGCGAGGCAGAGTTCGGCGGAGAGTTAGGCCGGTAGGTGGGATGTCCAGCAGCGGAGAGTTCGATAGGTCTATACTTGTTGAAGTCAGCGGGCCGCTTGAAGCAATGACACGCCCGATCTTCCTGGGCATTCCATGCATGTCATGGGATCGTTTCGGCACAGGGGTCACCAGTGGTCACCAGGCCTCCATGCACTGAACGTGCACCTTCCTCCCAAAGACATGGCCATGAGTGTGATGTTCAGCCTAGACCCTGTGGATCTCCTTTGCAAAGCGACAGGTGGAGGCCGGTACAGACTTCAACGGATGAGGCCGAAGCCGTTGTTACGGCGGAACGGCCTGTGCCAATCCAACCTCGTGAAGCCAGGGAAGGCTGCAGCATGAGCCACGGTATGCCGTGGAGCCTGCAGGTGCTTGTGGTAGCAGCAGCTGCATCTTTCTGAGACGGCATCCATCCGCCCGCTATCAGCTGTGCTCGCAGAGGCTCGCGGCGCCGCTCCGGCACCGTGGTGTCTTCGCATTGCTTGGGGCCGGGCCCAGGGTTTCGAGTGCCTGTTGCGTTCCATTGCACGCAGCCCCGACTTTCGCTGATCTGCGCATGGTCTCCTGCACACCCACCGCACCGACCACACCGGCCACACCGACGGCGCCGACCGTGCCGACCGCACCGACCGCGCCGACCGCGCCAACATGCGACGGGGAGTACGTGACCTTCTGGGGGCTTGAGGCATGCCAATGGGTCAGTCTCGGTGCCTGTCGCTGCAAACCGGTCTCTGTCAGCCTTGGCATCTAAAGGCGAAGCCTGTCGTGTCGCTTCGGCACAGTTCGGCGGCCTGGCAATGCCTGGCAAACTGAGGGGTGCCAGCACCAGAGCCGAACGTGGAGCTAATCGATCGGCCGGAGTGTGGCTTTGAGACAGAAGGCTTCGCATTCGTTCTCCATCGTTCGGGGCCCGGCTTTGTGCCGTTGAAGCTGAGGCGCTAGGACATTGCCAACGTCTCCGGCCTTGCCTGCACTGTTGTCACTATTGCTCGGTAGTTTCCCGCCGCTGAGAGTCGTGGTACGCCCGAAGTCTCGCAATGTGTCTGCGTCTCACGTGGTGCATCTTAGGCAGGGTCCGCGAGGCTGCCGGTTCGAGGATCGCAGATGGCTGCGGAGGTGACGGCTGTAGGCTGCTCCGACAAAAGTCCAAGGTACTGAGACGAAGGAAACGGTGGGGGTTGTGCCCAGCTGCTGTCCGTTTGCTTCCAGTCGCAGATTGCCATCAGAGGAAAACTGCATGTGAAAGGCATCACAACTTTGGAGACCTTCCTGCGACCGGCGCAGGTTTTGGTTGCTTTGACGTCCTGCTCTCGGCAGGCTTTGGCTTTCTGCGAGCCTCAAGCATGAGAAGACTTGAGCTCAGCTGACAACGGAGGTTGGTAAGATCTGGCACCGCTCCAGGAAGCGCTTTGCTTGCGTCAAGGCCAATGTACTTGTGCCTCCCGCCGCTGTCATCCGCGGTGCTGGCGGTCCACGTGCCCGACGTGGCAGCGAAACGGGCCACAAGCGGTTCTGCGCATGGATGGGGAATCTGGAAAGAGGAGGCGGGTGGACAGTCAACGACCGTGCGCGGCGTGGCAGCTGCATCGCGCTTGCTCGCATCAGCTTTTGCGGAAGTCCTCGCGCCAGTCCTCGCGCCAGTCCCTTCTTGTCTGCTTGTAGGCGCAGATGAGCGACAGAAGATCCGTGCACCACATGCGGCGCATGTCCTCTTCCAGCCCAGTCCTTCCACATGCATTGTCGAACAAGCATGAAAAGCAAAGTGTCTGGTCGACGAGAATTTCAGGTCCCATCCTGCACTGCACAATGGTGTTCAGAATCCTTTCGTTCTGCAAAAGATCTCCGACCTGACCCCTCATCACGTCAGAAGGTTTGTCGCACCAGTCGTGGCTTGCAGACAGTGCCCAGGCCTGATGGAGTGAACGACGTCCCGCCAGAGCTTTGCGACAGCATGTGTTAGTCTCCGCTCGCATCCCTTGCGGAAGGCTTATGAAGCAGACGAGAGGCGGACACCTCTTCAGCCTGAAGCGGAGCGGCTCCCCTTCCTGACAAGCCGATCCTGTTTCGCCGGAGGCTCCTCGCCGGCAGGAGCAGGAGGTCGCTCTGGGCCATGCTGCCTTCGCCGCCAGCTGGCGGGCAGCGCTTGCGACGTGAACGAGGCGGCGGCGCCGGGCTTTGCAATGCCTTGCGATCAAAGTCTCTGTGCAGGGGCATGGGAGAGTCTGCCTGCGTGGTGCAGTTCACTGCACCGCTCCTGAGAGCACTCGGAGCACTCCGAGCACTCGGAGCACTCGGAGGCAGCTGCCTTCGCCTGGAGCTTCGAGGTCTTCGAGCAGAGGCCAGGGATATCAGGAAGCGAAACAGGAGGCGTCTTATGCTGAGGCTTTGAAGTTGGGGCGTTTCGCTCCGCAGGGCCTCTTGGCCGTGACCGTCTCCGACCTGCACATCCGGCCCAGGTCCGTCGCGTCGCAGGTGCTCGGCGCTGCATCGAGACAACTGATGGCTCTCCGCCGCAGCGACGGTCTCCATAGCCCGTCCCAACAGAAGCCGAGGGTTTCCTTCCGGGCGTGTGCCCGAGCCGCGACTCTGGGGAGGACGACTGGTTGATCGACTGAGTGGCTGCGGGGCGCCGGCTGCGCTCCTTGAACTTGTCCTGTTCGCTGCTTCCTGGAGCAGCGGGGCTGCTGCGTGCTTCTGCCGCATTGCAACCGGCCCAGCCTGCGCCGTCGTTCCATCTCTTCGCTGGCGTTTGGTGCTCCGAGCGTGAGGGTAAGCCCGCTGCCCTGAGCATTGTCATGAGAGCCAGAGTGCCGCAGTGACACCTGCCTGGATGTCGCTTGCCTCTTTTGCAGCTCTTGCCTGCACAAGCGAGCCTACACGAAGCCAGGCCTTTGAGGATGCAAGCTTTGCTGGGTGCCATGGCGAATGCGAGAGCACAGCGGCACTTGTAACGCTTGGGTTCGCTGCACACAAGATCGCCCGGGCAGATTGCGCTGCCAAAGAGATGCGACTGAGATCGGACCTTTCCTTTGCCCCAAGATGTGGATTTGGACGGTGCTTTCGCTTTCCAGGAAGAGATGCGCCCAGGCAGAGGTGGCCGAGCCTGCCTGCGTCTTTGTGCGCCCCCGCTTTTTTCCCGTGGCGCCGGGCTTGAAGGTGGACCCCCTAAAGCATCTGAAGCACCCAAAGCCTCTAAAGCCCAAAGTCACCTTTAGGCTTCTACAGGTGCAAGGAGGGTGGGGCTATCATGAGCCGTTGAAGATGAAAGTACGGTGAAAGCGTTCTCAGCTCCAAGGCCCAAAGTGCTTGTAAGCCCTGAATCCAATCCATTAGGGTTTAGGATGGGTTGAGGGTTTAGGTTTGAGGGTTTAAGGGATATCAGTACCACGTCGAAAAGACTCACTCCCTCACCCCCTTAATCTTCAGCACAATGAGAAGATGAACTGAAGCCGGAGAGGCACGGCGAGAAGATTCGTAACACAAGGAACTGGCTTTGTCGCCTTGGCAGCTTGCGTTGCAACTGGCGCTGTCCATCGGCACGTGTAGGGCATGACGTAGGCTCCCGCAGCACCGGAACGGTTCCGGTACCTGCGGCTCAGAAGGGTGTCTCTCCCGTGCATCAGCATGACACGCCTGGCGGAGTGGGGGCTGTGCTTCGTGGGCATTGAAGCCTGCGTTGACGCTGCGCTGAGCATCGCTCCGAATCGCTCCTGCTGCGCACTGTTCAAAGCCGTGCCAGGGGGCAGGCGCAGGTCGCCCTCCGGATCGCAGAGCCGCGCGAGATCACGCACATTCTCTACATTTCTGAACTTGTCGGTGCGCCGTGGACATGTTCATATGGCAAAGGTCGGATTCTTGCTCTCCTCGGCTACAGGCCATGCTGCACCCGGACCATGTGGCATCATGTTGCAAACTTGTCGTAGGGGCGGTGTGGTAAATGCGGCGCCTATAAGGCTGTCCGCAGAGAAGAGAGTACAGCACGAGGGCAGATTTGTCTCCAGAGGTCGAAGGCACTTCTTGTTTGGCAGGTCCTGGTCTCGAGGCGCTCAGCAACGTCCCGCAGTGTCTTCCGGTAGTTTTTTTCGCCGCCCCCTATAAGTTCCCCACAAGGGCAACGATCCTCAAGCTTGTGAACTCCCGTCGAGATCTGGGAGGGAGGCAAGCAAGCCAGGGGCCTCGTGAGCTCCGGCTCCAGGGCAAAGCAGCACTGGCTCGGTCCCTGCGAAAATCGAAGTCAAGGTTCAGGGTGTGGGCGAAGCTGGGCGCGTGGCCGGAGGAAACTGGCTCCTGCTTGTGCGTGTCTTCACTTACCAGGAGATTTGTTCTCATGTGGCGTGCCTCCGACGCTGAGCCGGTGCACTTTAGAAGCCTCGCGGAATCGGAGCGCCTCCGTGCAGTCAGCCTAAGTCCTAAGAGGTTTCCGAAAATCCATGAAGTGCAACCCACACCCTCACCGCTTTGCTTTCTCCTCCACCGCAGCGCGATGGACACGTCTCGTTCTGTGTCTGGGCACAGGCGTCAGCAGTACTGAAGAGATGTTGCAGGGAAAGGGGAGCAGAGCACAAAGTCCCAGCATGGCTCAGCATGTGTGACAAAAAGCATTCAGCCTGGGTGCAGAACTCGCCGCAGCGCGCAAAGAAGTCAGCAGCACGCTGATGGTGACGAGGGCATGCCTCGGCCTAAGCTCTGCTTGAAACTGAAAGCCCAAACCCTAAACTAAACTCAGGCAACCCGTCACCTTTTTAGGGTTTTAGGTTAGGGTTCAGACCCAAAATCAAGAGCTTGAAAATCCGCCTCCGTGCCACACTGCCCCGCCCTCGGGCTGCTCAGCTCTCCCTGAGAGGTGCCTGAGAGGTGCCTGAGAGGTGCCTGAGAGGTGCCTGAAGCCCGTGACCACGAGGGCACAGTGCAGCGCACTTCCGCACCAGGCTGTTGACATCGGCTTATGAGGCCTCACCAAAAGCCGCTCGACGCGCCCGCTCCGTTCCACTTGTCCGATATTCGACCCACCAGGCTGTGGGCGAGACTCGCCCGTGGGCACCTTTGGCACCGAGGCCCCTCCCGCGGGCAGAGCTCATGCTCGCTGGTCGTGGGGTGATGCCAAGCCCCCACCGGCCGGCCTTCGCTTGGTGTGAGTGATGGACGAGGATGCTCGTGTCCTCAAGCTCTGGAAGTTCGAAGTCCCTAGGCGCACTTTAATGGCTCCCGGCTTTGTGATCGCCTGAAACCCTTCAAGGCCACCCTCCAGGCCACAATCGCTTGTTGCCTTCGGCACTGCAAGAAACGCTGGGCGCGTGCCCCCTTCTCCTCCTGCATCCGCAGGGCTGTGCTCCCGCATGGCGCTGAAGCGCGCCTGCAGGGCGCAGCCGCCGCTCAGAGCGACTCTCTGCTTTGTCTGGCTCTGTGGGGAGCTCACATGCCTGCAGCACTTCCGTGCCGCACATGCACAGCAGTTCGCGCGTCCCAATGCGTTTGCATCCGAATCCTGCCACTCGGTGGCGCCAAGTGACGGTTTTCAAAGGCTCTCAACTGCGAGGACCGCGTCCCTGCACTGCTCAACGCCCATTTGGAGGCTTGTGCTTCAGCAGGACCACCAGCGTTGCGAGGAAAAAGGCTGCCTTCAACAGGGAGTTTCGATGAGCAAACAAAGCACAGCCGCACAGCGAGAGACACAGAGAGACAGAGAAGAAGAGGAGGGCGGCGACCAGGAGGAGGAGGGGGGAGGAGGAGGGGGAGGAGGAGGAGGAGGGGGAGGGGGGGAGGAGGAGGGGGAGGAGGAGGGGGAGAGGAGGAGGAGGGAGGAGGAGGAGGGAGGAGGGAGGAGGAGGAGGGGAGGAGGAGGAGGCGGAGGAGGAGGTGAGGAGGAGGAGGTGAGGCGGAGGAGGAGGAGGAGGAGGGGAGGAGGAGGAGGACGGAGGAGGGGAGGAGGAGGAGGAGGCGGAGGAGGAGGAGGAGGCGGAGGAGGAGGAGGAGGAGGAGGAGGAGGAGGAGGAGGAGGAGGAGGAGGGGAGGAGCTGCGTGCCACTTGTTTCCAGTGCCGATCTTGTCAGAGGGGGGGGGTCCAAGAAATACACTAGGAACCTGGGAGCCGGTTGGACAGTGATCGATGCGCATGAGTTCTGCCAATGTTCAATGTTAGAGTATGTCAGAGTGGTTCCCCCCTCCAACATGTCTTCTTTCAGCCGGTAGACTGCACTTCCCGGACCGTTGTTGTGTACACAGAGTTCGTTCTGACACCGGCTTGATGTCACTCACAGCCCGGCGACATCGGCTCAACGAAGCCAGCAGCTGTGCGTTGAACCTGCAGAAGAGTGCCGCGGGCTAAGAGTTTTCGGGTGGATGTTGCAGTTCTGATCAATGAAGCACTGTACCATCTTCGTTGTCGAGGTTGAAGCACGTTGAGTCCTGACTAACAGTGACTAACATGCTGAGCTTCGCCGGCTCAAGATGCTTTGAGAGGAGTTGACAGACCCCCAACCTGAGGCCCAGGAGCCCGAGAGCCTTGCGTGCGGAGGCCAGGACGGAGTCGTTTCTTTTTTTTCGTCTTTGGTCATAACGCCTCCCCGAAGCAAACGCTCGCCAGTTGTCAGCCAGACTCATTTCAGCTTCTGGGAGCGGGGTGAGGAGAATTTTGCTAAGCCCTGTGTCGCAAGCAAGTCTGCTCAAGTGCTTCAGGTCACATTCGGAAGTTTCGTTTTGTTGCACGCCGGTGCCTCGCCTTGTAGTGCCATGGCTAACCGGAAGGCCAACAGGCTCTTGCTGCTTGCGATTATTTCGATGGCCTTGGTGCATCACTTGAAGGATTCAGCCCCAGTGACTTTCTGTGGCACGCAGCAATCGCACCGGCGCCTTTCCGCAGTCCGAGCCTGGCCTCTCGGGCGCAAGGCGTCAGCTGTTGCTCCAAATCAGAACATGACCGCTATGGACACGGATCAAGTGGCCGACTGGGTTGTCTCCTTGGGAGACCCGATCAAACAATATGCACCAACCTTTCGCGACAATGGTGTTAATGGGAACCTTCTCAAAGAATTGACGGATGACGACCTTGAAGACATGGGAGTCGAGAAGCCCATGCATCGCAAGAACATTCTTGTGAACCGTGAGGCTCTCCTGGCAGATGGCTTTAACGAGACGCTGCACGGCCAGCGGCACTTGGAGAGTGCGTTTGAGATTCAAGGGCCAGCATCGCTGGAGCTTCAGCCCCAGCGCTTTGCGCAATCCGCGCTGGACAGCCTGAAAAGGTCGGGAACACCTGCAGGAGTGAACCTTCGTGCTGTGACCAGGCAAATGGATGGCCTCCTCTGTGGCCAGCAGGAGGCAACAAATCTGATGGAAGCGGTGGAAGCGATGAACCACTTGACTTTTCACCGCACAGCTCATGTGCCTGGAGGGAGTCGTGTCAGGGAAGAGATTCAGTCAGATCTGCAAGTGGTATCGGAGGCGAAGATTGCAGCACGGGAGAAGAGCATCGTGACACATGCCAAGAACATGCAACTTGCAGCCGCTGTGGACCGGTTTTGCAGATCATGCAGGAGTTCTCCAAGCGATGCCAGCATGAAGCAAGCAGGAACTGAGCTCGAGCGAGTGTTCCTACAGTGGAAGGGTGCAATGCTACGATTGGCTGATGCAGATGCCGCTCACAATGAGGACTTGATTCAGCGCACCTCTGCTCGATTTCAGTCCCAAACCCCGGGCGGGGCTGCTGTGCAGGCCAGCATACAGGCTTTCTCTGAGGTTATGCAAGAGTTGCATCAAGCCGCGGAGAAGTGCAGCCGCATTTACAACTTGGACGACCCAGACGTGCGACTCGCTCTTGAAGCTCGAGCAGGTGGGTTGGTTGACACAATCCAAGCAGAAACTTCCCCGCGCTTAGCCTTACAGTTATGGACTTGTTGGGTCGCATGTCTATTGTTGGCGTTATGTGCATGCTTGCATGCGTGTTGGTGCGCGACAAATGTAAACTGGAATCCAGCAGTCAAAGAAGCAGTCAAGGCTTGACAAGTCAAGGGCCGTGTCCCATTCGCCAAGTCTGGTCGCATGTCAGGTGGCTGTAACAGGTCTCTGCTAACTTTCATGCTGCCTAGAGCAGAATGTTGTAACTACGTTCCAGACCGGAAACAGAGCCACGACGCAGAAGCAACCTTGTAGCCAGTGCAGACCTTTCATTTCATTGCCAGTGTAGGACAAAGCCTGCAAAGGCTTACCCTATTCGTATTTGTGCATTCAGACAGACAGATCTCATGTCCGAGCGACGCAAGGAACAGACGAAGCTTGAACAGCGTCAAGGGCGCCGAGACGAGGTGCAGAAGCAACTTCTAGAACAGGAAACAGAGCTAGCTCAGCTTGGAAAGCTTCGCAGGCAGCAGGTGAACCAGACGAAGCAGATTCGGGATTGGCACATCAAGCGCTTTTGGCGATGGGGCCCACGGGGATGGGAAGGTGAGATGGAGACCTACGAAGAGCAAGCTCGAGGAGACCGTGAGCTCATGAAAGGGGACGAGCAAGCTGTTGTCCAGAAGTGTGCCGAGCTCAAGGGTGACCTGTCTCAACTCGAGAAGGACATTGAGAATCAAGAGAAGCACCTGGCCAAGCTTGGGATGATGAATTCTCCAACAACCTGGGAGAATGTCCTGCAGGCCCAAAACCTTCCGGCGCTGGAGGCCGAGGTAAAGGAGAAGGAGGAGAAGCGGAAGTTGATTGCGGACCAGCTTCGGCAAGCAATGGTAGATACGGGAGTTGTGGATCCTGACCAGGCCGCCCAAATCATCACCCAGCATGAGACATCGAAGATCCTTCTCTCCGAGACAACCGCCAAGTCTCAGGAGGCAGCTGCCCGCACACAGGAGTTTGTAGCTCAAATGGAAGACTTGGTGCTGGTTGGCCTCAACGCGTCAGAAGTCTTAATGCCCGAAATCCTTGAAGAGCTGAAATCCCTCGCGCAGTGCACAGTACTCCTTAGTGAGCTGCACGAAGATCACATGCAGCATCTAGGAAAGAAGAAAGGGGAAGTGCTGAGTAGAGTTGCAGCTTCTGTTGCCGCTTTCAGGCTGCAGGACCAAATGTCATTGACAGATTGAACAGGCAGATGGTGCTTGAATGTCTGCACTCTGTGCTGACCAGTTGATTGTTCAAGAATCGCTCTTGAGCGGTCGCGCCCAAGCTGGTCTGTGGTACGGACCGGCTTGTTCTATTTCTCTTGCTCGAGGTGCTCTGCCTGAACACAGGTAAGTACCTGCAAGAAGCGGACCCTCGGCGTGCGAGCCTTCGAAAAACCAAAGTGCCTTTCTATCCTCTGAGAGCTGTGGGCTGACCCATCCACAGCCACAGAACCTGCGGCCTGCTCACTCTAAACCCGAGCTGGGTAGGTACTGAAGTGCCCCCAATGCATATGTTGAGTCATGGCGACGTGGAGGTTCTCAGCGGTCGGTGAGCTGGTGGGGTGTCCCGGACTCGGTTTTGCTGCGCAGCCTCATGGGATCTCACGGGAGGACTGGGAAGCAGCAGGTCAGCCTTTGCTTCTCCCGTGTAGACTTCAAGTTCTAGATAAAGAAATGTTTGAACTGTAAGTTGCGAAGCTGAAGCTGAGACAAAGCCCTAGATTCATCCTAAGGACAGCCCATTGTGTCTTGGACCCTCAAGATTAACTCAGCACTAAAAATGCTTTAGTGAAGGCATGTGCTTGAAGCAGCTTGAACAGCATCTCCCAGGCAGATTCGCCCGCTGCCGCGCCGCCCGTACAGCGAGGTATGAAGCGACGGTTCAGTTTCTATACTACGAGAGAGTTCTGTGGCCTCGAAGCTTAGTGCTGTAGGCGTCAAACCAAGTGGGAGTTGAAGCTGAAGTTTCTGTGGTGCACCAGCGCAGGGAAGGGTGAGAGCGCTGGCCAGCTGCCAGTAGGCCGTCAAGCAGATATTATGGTTACTGTCGTGGCTGTTATGATTGTTTTCTGGGTATTGAAAGAGTTTAGTTGTTGTTGTTGTGATTAGGAGATGCCACCCCTCGGACCATCGGTGAAAAAGAGAAAGCGCGTCCGACTGGTGCAGACGTAACGGGTAGAGCTAATCCCTTCCCCCTAGTATTAAACCCCCACCCCCGGCCGTAAATCTAAAATTCGCCTCGGCCGGAAAATATTAACAGTTAGGGGGGACCTAAACCCTAACACCTGAAATCCGAAGCCTAAACCCAACGCCGGCCGGGCCTTCAGCCCTAAACTCCAATGAGTCGGAAATGGGCAGCATGCCATAGGCCCATTGCAATATGCGCCCGGTCACAAAGCCCTAAACCCTAAACCCAAAAAACCCTAAGCCCTAAAAACCCTAAACCCTACAAACCCTAAAACCCTAAACCCTGATTTCAGTAAGGCTGAATGTTTCGATGTGTGCCGCTCAAGCAAATGGTGGCCTGGGTCCCCCAGGTTCTGGGTTTTCTTTCGGCCGGTTCAGCTTCGGGTTGGTGGGGTTTAGTTTGCCCAGCGCACTGCACTGGCTCCCTATCCGTCCTCACCCTCGCTTTTGTATCCGGCCTTGGGGTTGGGGCCCTCCTAACGCTCTTCCTCTTCCGCAGGACCCTCTTTGTTGCTCCTCCTTCCTGGCCCTCTTGTCCTTCAGGCATCGGGGCAGGAGACACCGGCACCTCTTCCCCGGCTTTAGTCACTCGCCGACCCAACGTGTATCCTAGGCTGCGGGCCTACTTGCATGAGTGACGAGCTTACGGAAGGCTCTTTTGACCTTCAAGCGCTCTCTCAGGCCTTTGAACAACTGCATATTGCTTCCGGGGCCATTGTACAAGCCCTCGAGGGCGGTGTGTCTCAAAACGGCTGGCAATTGGTCGAGTCTCCAACACCACCTGCTGCAACCAGCTCTGTCACATTACCCCAGACCCCTAGTGGTTCCAGTCCTGCCCCTAGCCCTCTGCCTTCTGAGTGCCTGCATCTTTGTGTTACCCTGGCTCCTTCAGTCAGGGCCTCTCGCGCCGCGAGAGCCTGGGCCGCAGGCCTTTCCGCCGGTCGAGTGCTTCGAGGAGAGCTGCATTGCGTGGAGCCTACCCCAGATCTTTCGGTCAGACCAAGGGTTTACGTGGTTCTCAGAAATCCTCGCTTGGGAAGGGGTGGTTTTTACAAGAGCTTTGGGTCCTTTAAACTGGCCGTCGGGCGGCTGTCGCACGACACGGTGTGCCACGGCTTTCCCACTGAGGGCGAGTGTAGGGTCTATTGTCGAGCTGCAGGTGTTGATTTCCCGCCAGAGGAGCCATGATGGATGCGCTAGATGCCTCCGAGCTCGCCTATGCCACCTACGGTGTTCTGACGCCATACCTTGCTGGTCCCCCTGTCGCCGGCAGTCCAGGCGATCGCAATGCCAAGGTTCTCTGCTGCCCTGTCATGCAAAGGCCCGGAGGTATGCTCCTGGCACTGCCTGCCAACAGCGTGCCCCCAAACCTGCTTCTTGCAGGAGAGGACGCGGATCCGACAACCTTGCATGGACCTTCGACCGTTTTGGATGTCCCAGCCGTCGAGGAGACCGAGGAGGGCGAGGAGCAGCCTGCCGGTGCTTCTCTCCCTATCTTGCTTGTGGACGTTTCCGACATGGCTGCGAGCCACCTTTCAGTGTACGAGCCTCTGGTGGACACTGGCGTGACACCTTTCGACCCAGAGCACCCTGGCAGGTTTCCCAACGTCGAGGCTTTGCTGGGTTTAGCTCGGGCTTGGCTGCACACCGCAGATGCCGAAAGAATGGGGTTTTACACGGCTCCGGAAGAAGAGCAGGTCGAGGAGGTGCCACGCAATCCTCCAGCAGGCCCAAAGGCGGCTGCCAAGGCCCCCAAGACGAAGAAGCCTACCACGGCACAGCTGGCTTCTCAGCTCTCCTCCCTTCTAGAAGTCATGCCCAAACTGGCCAGCCAGCTTGGCTCTCTGACAGAACGCCAGCAGGCTCTAGAAGAGCAGGTTCAGGCCAATCAGGTTCCAGCAGCCCCGGTCAACCGGGCCACTCCCATGCAGCCCCCGCCTGCGCATCGCATGCCTTTCCTTTTGCCAGCAGCAAACAAGGCCAGCCCCGACACCGCATCAGCCTTTGCCGCTTGCTTCGGGCCCCCGCCAAAGGTCCGTGCAACTCAGCTTCTGGACCCTCCTCCTGCCCCGACGGTGGGACTGCCCGAGGATGGGAGCGAGGTGCTAGAGGGTGCTGGGCTTGGAGCCTCCCTGGCTCAACAGAGCAACGCCCTGACTCTCCTGGTCAACCACTTGATCAGCCAGGCCTCGGAGAACTCAGGAGACTTCGGCGGAGGAGGCCAGGGGTCATCGGCCCTCTCTACAAAAGGCTCGGCAAAGCGCGAGAAGCTACAGGCGGAACTCGCGACCTATTCAGGCAACTTCATGCTGGCCGTCGCTCAGTCAGGCTTCAGGCGTATGAACCCAACAGGGCCTTTGCCCCGGAGCCTCTCCGAGATCCAAGGGTCGGCTGCGCCTTTCCGTTTCAGCGACTACCTGGAGCGTTATGGAGGTTACCAACACCAGAGGGAGCTGGGGCTCATCATGTACATGCTCAGCCAGGTCGCCGACCTCCTCCTGACTGGCGAGGTGGCGGGCAGTTTGGACTTGATCTCATTGATGCTTGTGGCGACCGAACAGGCAGCGCAAGATCATGGGCGATGGGAGGTTGCCTACACCCTTTCATTGTTCCCGGACCCGCCTGCGCAGATCTTTCAAGGACGAGGCACCCCAAACAATCCTCGCCTGAGGGCGTGGGCCCCTCTCTGTCCCGCGCCGTGGGCCACGACCGCGCTGGCTTATTTGAAAGAAGCCGACGCGATTCTGGCAAGGAGGAACGAGGCCTCAGGGTCCGGGTCAGCGCCTCGCAGGACAGGTCAGGAGGAGGACTCGCCCAGAAAGCCTCCGAGAAAGCCAAGGTTTCCCCGAAAGCCCAAAGCAGAAGGGTCTTGACAGGCCCTAGGCAGCTCCTTTTGTTCCCCCTTTTGGCAGCTCAGGGTGCCCTGCCCACTTGTTCGCTGTCTGCTCCTGTTAGCAGTGTGCCCTTTGCGGTCGCCCCCTCACCTGTCCGGGGCCATGCGTGCCCGATGCACTCAAGCAGTTTTCCTCCCTTTTGCAGCTTCGCTGGCTCGCCTCTGGTTCCGGGCCCTGAGAGCCCCCGCTTTGGTTCTGCTATTCATGCCTCACATCACGCTTGCCTTGCGTCTCCCAGCCTTGTCGCTGCCGGCTCGCCTCCGGCCGTGGGTCGTGAGTGCCCACCTGTCCTGCCATGCAACTTCTTCCACCCTGTCGCTGCTGGCTCGTCTCCAGCTGTGGGCCATGAGTGCCTACTTGTCCACTCCTGCAAAAATCCTGCGCCACCTGCCTCTGTCGCTGCCGGCTCGCCTCCGGCCATGGGTCATGAGTGCCCGGTCCAGCCATGCAGAAATCCAGTTCCACGCGCCCCTCCTGGACTTGTCCATCCTGCGTTTTTCTCTGTCGCTGCCGGCTCGTCTCCGGCCGTGGGCCTTGAGTGCCCACCTGTCCTGCCCTGCAGCAATCCAGCGCAAAGTGCACTGCTTTTCTCTGTCGCTGCCGGCTCGCCTCCGGCGGGCCATGAGTGCCCACTTGTCCAGCCCTGCGGAGATCCGTTTCGACGCGCCCCTCCTGGACTTGTCCCTGTCGCTGCCGGCTCGCCTCCGGCCGTGGGCCCTGAGTGCCCGCCTGTCCTGCCCTGCAGCAATCCAGCGCAAAGTGCACTACTTTTCTCTGTCGCTGCCGGCTCGCCTCCGGCGGGCCATGAGTGCCCACTTGTCCAGCCCTGCAGAGATCCGTTTCGATGCGCCCCTCCTGGACTTGTCCCTGTCGCTGCCGGCTCGCCTCCGGCCGTGGGCCCTGAGTGCCCACTTGTCCTGCCCTGCAGCAAACCAGGTCAAAGCGAACTGTTTTTCTCTGTCGCGGCCGGCTCGCCTCCGGCGGGCCATGAGTGCCCACTTCTCCACAGTGCCCCGCCTGGACTTGTCCCTGTCGCAGCCTGCTCGCTTCCGGCCCTGGGCGCTGAGTGCCCTCTTGCCCCACTGCCTTCTAGCCCTGACGACGTCGGCTCATCGTTCTCTTTTGCTGCCGACTCGTCCCTGGCTTCAAGCGCTTCTTCTGGCACTCAATGCCCCAAATCCCAGCAAAGGTCTGCTGTCCTGGCTGCAGCAGGTCGCCATGAACCCTCCGTGCCATTTGTCTGCACTTCGAATTCAATGCCTCAAAGTCTGCCTTCCTGTGGCGTGACTAGAAAAGAGCACCCCGCTGCACCTGCCTACCTTCCTCCGGAGGAACGCGAGGCTAAGACCCTCGCGGACAACTCCCGGCCTAAGTCATCACAGGACCATGGCCCTACGGCAGGCTGCCTTTCTTTTCGACGGTGGTCGCTCTCTTTTGCTTTTCGGATTATCCGGACGAGGACCCCCTTCGCGGCCTTCCTGTCCTCCATTTTGCACCTGCACCAGGATGGCTCGATGCCTCCTGCCAAGTCTCTGTTCCCGCTGCCTCTGCCCTACAAAGGAGTATTCAGGCAACCGGACCCGCGCATGAACTCCCGCGCCCGCGGACGCCTGGGCATCCAACGAGTTGTTTTCGTGACCGTTGCGGCCCTCGACTACCTTCATGCCGGCTGCTCTTTCGTGCCAAGAGCGGCCCTGCGGAGGCCGCCCAATGCTGCTCAGACCAATGCTCTGCGGTACATTGAGAGGCTTGTCAGAGCTTGCGGTGCCATCCCGCCTGTCAATGTGCCGGCGGCGTCGCGCCGATCAGCTCAATTAATTGCACGGCTTGGTGAAGTCTCAAGTTTCCTCACCAAAATGGGCCCTTCTTTTGATCCATACGGGCCCGCTTTTCCGGGAGTGACCCAAACCTCTGAGGAGAAGGAAGCGGCCCTTTCTCCTTATCGGTCGCTCCAGGTCGAGCGCCTTAAACTCAGTGGCCAGGGCAATTGGGATCCATCGCCCTACCTTGATCCTTCATTGTACCTGGCTTTCAGGGAGCCGAACAGTCTGGTCTTGGAGGAGGTGGCCCCGCCAGGCCGGGCAGACGTCCCCCTCCTGAACCAAGAGAAGGTGCCTGAACTTGAGAAGGTCGCGCTGCTATGGGATGCTCGACGCCTGCTCGTTCTGCACGACGCTGGACCTCCTCTGTCCCGGCCCTACGAGGGCGTACGCCTGTTCAATGCACTGAAAAACGAAACGACTGACAGACAGATAGCGGACAGGCGCGGCCGCAACTGGGTCGAAGGGTCCATCCCGGGTCCCTCTCGACATATTCCGACTGGAGTCGCCTTGACGGGGCTTTATGTTTCGCCTTCCACCCATCGGTTGTCCATTAACATCTCAGACAGGCGAGATTTTTACCACCAGCTGAGGGTCCCTTTGCGACGATCCCGTCGAAATATTTTGGTTCCCCCGCTCCCGACTTCGCGTCTTCGCGAGACGTGGGCTTACCAGGAATTCTTGCAAAGGTCCGGGCCCCAAGTTCGCGAGCCTGCAGAGGCCAACCACGCTTCCCGGCCCGACCATCTATACCTTGGGTTTGGCGCTGTACTTCAGGGGGATTCTTTAGGAGTAGAGTACGCGACATCCTCTCACTCTAATTTCCTGTCCAGCCATGGTTTGTTGGGTGACGACACTCGAGTCCTCGGATCATCCTTGTTTCCTCCAGGTGGCAGAGACGGCCTCATTGAAGGCCTCGTCATCGACGATTATTACAGCATCGCGCAGAAGCCTCATGGTTCCGTGGAGCCTTGTTCGGCCGAGCTGGCTGCTGCTAAAGCCAAGGAGGCCTACGCTGACAGCGGTATCCTCGGATCTCCTGAAAAGGACATCAACGACGCCCCAGTGGCTTCCTGCACTGGGGCTGAGGTAGACACTTCACCTTCTACCATTGCCCTTGGATTAGGTCTGGTAGGACCCTCCCGTGCCAAGAGGGTCTCGCTTGCGGCGGTTACCCTTGAGGTCGCTAGGCTCGAGGCCACTTCTGACCACTTGCACCTTTGCCTGCTTGGCGCTTGGACTTCGGGATTGCTCTACCGTAGACCCCTAATGTCGGTGCTTGATAGATGCTACAAGCTCATTGATGCTTCTCAAGTTGAGCCCGACCAGGTCAAGGTTGTACCCCTGCCGAGGACCACCGCGGATGAGCTTGTGCTGCTTGCCGCGCTCACTCATATCTTGACAGCCGACATCTCTGCGCCATGGCTGTCTTGCCTCTTTGCCACCGACTCCTCCGACGATAAAGGGGCAATCGTCCAGACCAGTCTGCCTGAGCACGTGTCCCGTTTGCTTTGGCACTCGACCCAGGGTACAGCCAGTTCTGCCAGGCTCCTTTCCAGAGAACGGGTTGCCCTGCGTCGTGTTGACGAAATGTTTGAGGAGTTGCCGGGCGACGGCGTTTTCGAGCCTCCCAAGGCTGGGCCCGCGAAGCCCCTTGCTCTCCGCTTTCATTTCATCGAAGTTTGTGGGGGCACTGGCAAGGTCAGTCAGTATATCAGAGAGTTCGGGTGGCGCACCGGGCCCCTGCTCGACATCACTATCTCGCCCGAGTATGACTTTACTTGTGTTCGAGTCCTGGAATGGGTCCTCCATTTAAGCACGGAGGGGCTCGTTGATGCTGTGTTTGTCCGACCGCCCAGCGCCACTTTCTCAGATGCGGTTCGTCCGGCCCTTCGCTCCTGGGCCCAGCCGTTCGGGTTCGATCCCTCTGAAAGGAGGACCAAGCTTGGCACTGTCCTCGCTCTCAGAAGCCTAACTGTCCTCAAGGCCTGCCACGACCACGGTATAGCCTCTGCCTTGGAACAGCCTCGAAATTCGAAGATGATTCGACTGCCCTCTTGGAAGGCTGTTGCCGCCCTGCCTGGCGCCTCTGAGATCTTCACTGTCGGCTGTGCTTTTGGAACGGCTTGCATGAAACCTTGGCGCTTCCTTGCTGTTGCGTGCGACCTGTCCTCCCTCACGAGGTGCTGCAGCAAGGACCACACGCATGTCCGGTCCCAAGGCCATCAGACTACAAAGGCTTCTGCGGCATATCCTGATGCCCTTGCGCTAGCCATTGCTAAAGCTTTCTCGCGCGCCATCTCTCTCAGGCACGCTGCCCTCGAGTCATGCTCCCTTGAGGTCGAAGGTTTGGAATCTCCGCTTGTAAACCAGCTTGCCCAGGCCGGCAACTGGAAGGTCGTTTCGGTTTGGACTTGGAGAAGGCCTGTCCACATCAACCTCCTCGAGACGGCCTGCGTCTACCGGCTTTGCTGCAAGTTGGCTCGTCAAGGCCTCGTTGCTGCCAGGTTCTGCTCTTTGTGCGACTCCAACGTTGCCCGCTGTGCCATCGCCAAAGGGCGCTCCCCATCTGCAGGTCTCAAGAAAGGTTTGAGGAGAATTGGAGCTGTGTGTTTGGCCTTCGGTCTGTATCCGGCCGCTCCCTACTGCCCTACCAGACTCATGCCAGCCGACCATCCGACTCGCGACAAGCCCCTGCCTCCTGCACTGCCGGGCTTTAGTCTCTCCCAATTCAGCTCTCAAGAGCTTAGGTGCCTGGCTGCCCTTCCGAAGCTCCGCCGATGGGCCGCAGGTTGGGTACGCCTGCTTCTGCTCCTGTCTGACTTCCGCCCGGCCGGGCGCCCCGAAGACCGCTTTCGATGTCGTTCTTTTAGAACCTTTGTGCCCTCCCCCCTTGCCTTTGACGCAACTCTTGGGTACCCTGGTGAGGGCCCTTGCTGGTTCTACTGGCTGGTGCTGCTGTGGGTTGGGTTTTCAGGGGTTCAGGGTCCTTCTGCCTTAAGCCCTTCAGTCCTGAGCCATGGCCCACCTCCGCGAAACGCTGGTGACCTGGAACGCATGAGGCGCAGGGCTGGAGATCCTCTGCCCCTGGGACGGCCTGTCGAAGCAAAAACCAAGGCTCGCCGAGACCAGCTCTGGTCAAGCTTCCTAATGTGGCTCAAAGAGAATGACATACCTTCTGCGCTTTTCGAGGACACTGCAGGATATGTCGACGTCGATGGCATCAATGCTGTTCTGGTACGATACGGTAGACAACTCTACACCAATGGGAGGCCGTTCTCTCACTACAGCGAGTTGCTCAACAGCTTCACTGCCCGTGTGCCGAAGTTGAGGCGGTTAGTACAACCCGCGTGGGATATCGCTTTCTCTTGGAAACGAGCTGAACCAATCGAACATCAGGTTCCCTTGCCTTGGCAGGTGCTGATCAGTTTGCTGACGCTCGCGCTAAGCTGGGGCTGGACCCAGGTAGCGGCAGTCCTTGCGTTGGCCTGGGGTGGCCTTTTGAGGATAGGAGAGGTGCTGGCAGCACAGCGCAAGCACTTGCTTTTGCCCATCGACTTCGGCCACACCCTTGAGTACGCTCTGCTTTCTATAGGCGAGCCAAAGACCCGTTACAAAGCTGCGAGGCACCAAGCTGCTAGACTAGATCAACCAGATCTTCTCCAGGTCGTTGCTCTGGGCTTCGAGAAGCTGACGGCCGAGGACCGCTTGTGGCCGTTCTCGGGCCAGACGCTACGTAACAGGTTCCGGCAGCTTTGCAACGTTCTGGGCTTACCTTGCTCTCACAGCTCCGGCCTCCCGTGGCTGGAGCTCGCTTCGCTGCGAGCCGGAGGCGCAACCTGGCTGATGATGCAATGTGAAGACTCGGAGCTGGTGCGGAGACGTGGTCGCTGGTTGACATCACGTGTAACGGAGATATACGTGCAGGAAGTGTCAGCGATACAGTTTTTGCCACGGCTCCCCTCTCGTACACGGGACGCAGTATTCTTTGCTTTGGCATCTTTCAGGGCAATTTTGGACGAAGTCTCGTCCTTGGCACGGCTTGGGATTCAGCCCAAGCACTGGCATCTTTTCTTGGCCACCGGCAAGCGTGCTTGACGGCACAGTTATGGGAGACTCGGGGTGGATGGTGGCCTTGCTCTTTGTACAGCCTCAAAGCATGTGACACTTCCCAACGCGGTGCAAAAAGGGATGCACGCGTCTTGGCATGTGCATCGTTCTTGAAGCCTTGATTTCAGTAAGGCTGAATGTTTCGATGTGTGCCGCTCAAGCAAACCCGCCGCTCCCACCCGCGCCGGTGGCCTTGCTCTTTGTACAGCCTCAAAGCATGTGACACTTCCCAACGCGGTGCAAAAAGGGATGCACGTGTCTTGGCATGTGCATCGTTCTTGAAGCCTTAAAAACCCTAGACCCTAAACCCGAAAAACCCAAAATCCTCAGCCCTCAACGCCCTAAACCCCGGGATGACCATATGGGCAACCAATGGGTGTGGGAAAGCCATACGTGCTGCGGTTTGTTCCAGGCCCCCCAACTACATACTGATGTGGGTGATTCTGAAACCCTAAACGCATCACCATTGCTTTACATTTCGGCTCTCAGCCTCGCGCACCTGCAACCTTGGAAACTGCGCGGCTGAGGCAGGGCCAAAGCAAGTGTGAGGAGGATTTGGCAAGCAAGGGTTGGACTTGCCATGCAGAAAGCAGTGTGCGCGAGGTGCTAAATATTGATCCCCACCAGCAAGATTTGACACATGCTAAGCCCGACAGCCTCATGAAAGGCTAGACCTGGGCACTTGACGCAGCATGGCCCCCATTCGTATGAAGCACGCCAACCTCCAACCAACAACGCCCCGGCTGAACACCAAGTGCACACACATGCACATGAATGGGAAAGAAACAAGACTTAG